CCGGCTGGAGCTCTGACCCACAGCGGGAACAGTGACACCCACCTCCCAAAGGCAGGATAATTCGATGTGTGTGCAAATCCCAGATGCGGAGCACGGCGCAGAGGATGTGCTCGAGCGTGAGTGCCGATCTTTCTCCCGTGGGTGTGCCTGAAAGCCCCCCTACTCTGGAAATGGTCCACATGGGTCATCAGATATCTTTTGATATCAAAGGAATCGGGGAATCTACACAACCATTCCTACTTATTACCCCCAAAATGGGCAGCTGAACATGGGGAGGACTGAGGTCAGCACAAAGGAAAAAGCCAGACAGCCTTGGCAGGGAAGCACATGTGTGTGTTGGGGGCAGGCGCTCCCCAGAGCCCAGCGGCCCAGCACCAGGGCCGGACCTGCCTCAGCAGGCACGTCCTCCAAACCCCCCAGCCCAGGCCCACTGGAGAATGCCCAGAGGCCTCTCTGCTCCCTGCCTCCCCGCCCCCGGAGCATTCCAAGGGCTGAGTTTTTTCCTCTTGAAGCATCAGAGGCATGAGAAAGGAATCCGCCAGCAGGCCCACAGGCACCCCCTCCCCGCCCACGCCTGCCAAGCTGACAAACAAGTGGGAAACCCCGCGACCATGAGCACCCGGCCCCAGCTGGGCAGGCTGCTCTCCCTGAGCCAACCTCCCACGATGGAGCCACCGAGGCCCCAGGCCCACGTCAGCCTGGGAAGGAGGTGACCCAGGTAAAGAGGGATGAGCTGGAAGACTGAGCAGGACTCAGAGCGAGGGCACAGCTGAGCACAGAGACTGCTGCACGCCTGCCCCGCCATCAAGGGCTCTCCTGCTCTGAGTGCCTTTGACTAGGCAGCGACCCCAGGTCCCAAGCCCAAACCCTGCTCATTCTCTGTAGGTGGGGCCACCATGGGCTGGCCTAAAGGAAGGAGCCCACGCAGAGGTGCAGCAACTGGGCAGGAACCCCGAATCCCTGGGATTCTTAGCTCTGCCCCCAACAGTCGGGACCGTGGGTCACGCTTACCCTGGCCTCAGACGATCTGCCTAGCAGTCCTATGAAAAGTCAGAGCTGAGAAAGAGCAGGGCACTTAGCTTATGTTGATCTGAATAGTTGGAGGAAGGCATGAGATTACAGCTACCAACACGTGTATAAATATGTGTCCAGTGGGGGAAAATGACACAAGGAACAGCTGTGTGGCTAAAGCTTTTCTCCTGCAGAAGTTTTTCCACCGAAGGAAGCTGTCCACTCCCTGGGCTGTTGTTTGCAGAAGCATTTGTTCAGTGCTGGGTCTTAGTCTAACATCTGACCTAGAAAGGATACACACTATATGTCCACTGACTTTTTTTTTAAATCAATGAATGACATCATAGAGACAGAAAGTAGATGGAGGGTGGCCGGGCTGGCAGGGGCAGGTGTCAGTGTCTGCTGGGGACACAGTTTCAGTTTGCAAGATGAAAAGAGGTCCGTGGACGGACAGGGGTGATGGTCACACAAATGTGAGTGTAGTTCATGCCACTGAACTGTACACTTCCAGATGACTGAGCTGGTACATTTTATGTGTATTTTGCCACAATTAAAAAAAAAAGTCAAAGGATGGTCAATAAACAACCAAATGAAGTGACCTAGTGTCACACCTTCCAGGGTACAGAACCTCAGACTGAAAAATCAATAAATTCTCTGCCACTTCGCCAAAGGTGTGACCTATTTCCTCACACCTTGAACCCGGCTGGGCTGGGCCTCACTTTGGCCAGAACGAAGCAGAACTACCACGGTGCAATTTCTAAGCCTAAGCCTGGAGAGGCTGTGCGGGCCTCCCCTCCCGCCCCTATTTGTTGTTCTTCCAGCTGCTGAACTCTTCCACACCCTCGTGGAGCCCGGCTGACGGCCAGCATCAACCGACAAGCAGCAGGGTCATCTCAGAGTGACCGGCTCCTGTCAGCTCTGGGATGACCTGACATCCCAGGCAAGGCCAGCAGAAGAGCAGCCAGCCGAGTACTGCCCAGACTGCCGACCCACAGAACCGAGAGCTTACGCCACGAAGCTGTGTGGCAGCCTGCTGCACATCAGCAGGGAACTGACGGAGGGAGGCAAGGGTCAAACGTGGGACAGCACGAAGCAGTGCCTGCCGGGCCTGCACTTGGAGCCTGGAGCCACATGCCCTGGCTAAAGCCACGTCCCCAAAGACGCTCCTATCAGACTGTGAGCCCCGGGGAAGGAGGCAGGCACTGGAGCCGAAGGCTGGGGAGGGGTGCACGCGAGGCCCTCTGGAACTTGGTGCCGACCATGAACAAGGGGAGGGATGCGCTCCTCTCTCTGGAATGCTCTCTCTTTTGCCTCCACAGTAGACTAAGCCTGACCTCAAGAGATCATACTGACAGGGGGGACAGAGCGAGCTCCCCACCAGTTCATGGACTCAGCTGGTTTTCCCCTGTTGAAAGGGAACATGAAACGGACTGAGAATTCTTGAGCCACAAAGCCCACACTTTCCACTAAGAGGATGCAAGTCAAAATGAGCAACTCACATTCACTTGATTTTATCAGCCTTCTCTTAAGGGCCCAGGCCTGTCACTGAGGCGGTCAGCACCGGGGCAGGGAGCCACGCTGGACTGCATTAGTTGCCCCTGTGCTCGAGCCCCTTTCCAGGCAGCTGTCCCCACATTGGCCCAGGAGCTGAGCCCCATCCCAGCCCCTGCCCCAGGCACCCTTGTCCCAAAATGTTACCTGCAGCAAGCCAGCTAACAGATGAACTGCCCGGTCCTACATACAGTGGATCCAGGAACACTGGAAGAGGTGATTCTTGAGAGAGCAGATACTCTCACAAGGCGCACATGGGCTTGGAGCTCAGGGCGTCTCAACCGCTGACTTCTCTGGGCCTGTATCGCGGTGGTATCACCAGACCCAGGGCCCAGTCCTGGGGAGTCTGCTGCTTTCTGGGCCACGACAGGCACAGCTGGCTCACCCCTGCCCTGCAGAGCATCTATTTGCCCACCACCCCGAGATGGCATCTTCTGGCTTAGAGCTCCTCACAGTCACCCCTCTGCAGAGCCCATCTACAAGGAGTACCAAGGCCCCCGGCTGAATACCAGTGTGAAGACATTCTTCCCACCCACCTACACCTGCCTTTGCAGTGTCACTTGACAAAGGATCTACTGCTGGACGTACAAGCTGCTGTACTTCCAGGCCCTCCTTGACATCCTTCACTCCTCCAACCTCAACCTTGGCTATCCCTTCCCACGGTGTCCATGTCAATAGGAAGACTCCACCTCCAGGCACACCAGTCCATCACCCTGCCCTCTGCACAAACCTAGGCTATTTAGCTGCAGTGGAAATAAAAAGTAGCACATTAAATAGGGTGCTTGGGACCCAATGTAATGGCACCCTGAAGGCAGCAGGACTCCGAGCTTGCCAAATGAGTGCATTCATCTGGATCGATGCCATGTGCTCTCAAGACCACCTCCTAACTCTGAGAATCACCTCGCTTTCACAGGGTTCCACGTCATGAGGCGTTCCGGTTGCTTGGGCAGCCAGCAATCATTTACCGAATGTCGCCCATGAGCAACGTACCAGCTGTACTCACACACTGAACCCATCAGACATCTCCTCAGACACAGGTCCCCATGGGAGGGCCTCTTGGGGCCCTGGCACCCACTCCCTCACTGCTGTGCCACGCTCTCCCCCAGTCGCCGTGCACGCCCCCGGACGCTCATTTCTGCTGACGAGTAACTGCAGGGGCAGGTGAGAAAACGAGCCCCTCAGCTATCGGAGCCCAGTGCTGGCTGCAAGTCGAGGCCTGTTCCAGCCACAGCCGCCCTCACCCCACCCACTAAGGAAAGAGCCCCCTGGCACCCAGTGCTGAGTGGTCCAAGATTCTTCTCCCTCTTTTCCTTGGATCAGACAGTGGGTTGGGGGAATTAATTAAACACAGTTGAGCTTGATTCTCTCAAGACACTCTGGCAATAATAATAATGATAAATGAGTGACTCGGAGGTCGGGGCAGGGGCCCACGCTGGCTTGGACTGCTGCTCGTGGGGGCGAGTGCATGTGTGTGCGCATCACCTGGCTCCCGGGCTCCTCAGGCACAAAGCGCGTCTTCCCTTCCCCTCCTCCACCCCCAGGACTCTCGTGCCTGCAGCCGGCCTGCTCGTCCAGGCAGTTCCGGTGGATCTCCGGTCTCCTCTGGGCCATGGTCTCTCTCGGCCCCACACCTACCCAACTTACTGTCTCTGTTGCCCTCTGACTTCATTTTTTTTAAGTTAACATATTGATATAGAATCTTATGAAGGTTTCACATGAACAACACTATGGTTACCCCCCATTATTAAGCCCCCCCCACATCCCATTACAGTCACTGTCCATCAGCGTAGTCAGATGCTATGGAGTCACTACTTGTCTTCTCTGTGCTATACTGCCTTCCCCGTACCCCCCTGTATTATGTGTGCTGATCGTAATACCCCTTAATCCCCTTCTCCCTCCCTTCCCACCCACCCTCCCCAGTTCCTTCCCCTTTGGTAACCGCTAGTCCCTTCTTGGGTTCTGTGAATCTGCTGCTGTTTTGTTCCTTCAGTTTTTTTCTTTGTTCTTCTACTCCTCAGATGAGTCAAATCATTTGGTGCTTGTCTTTCTCCGCCTGGCTTACTGCCCTGATTTCATTTTAATAAAAGTAGTTGTTCCCACGCCAAAAGAGGAGGCGACATAAGCTCCTTGGCTTATGGAGCGTCCCACCCAGGTGCTGCGTGCTGTGGGCGGAGGTGGGAACAGAGAAAGGGCCCCTGAAGGGCCCCCGCTGCTTCCCGCCCTGCTTCCCAAGCATGGCTGGGCACCCCAGGCAAAGGGCACCTGAAGCCGCACAACTTCCCAGCTCCCCACAACTCTCCCGCTCCTCCCTTGTCCACCAGCAGGGGGCGCGTCACCCCCAGCCTGGTCGTGGGGCCACCAGTCTATCAAATGCTGAAAAATACATAACAAAGCAATTTTTTACAAGGACAAACAAATCTAAATTTAATCCAACTTACCCTTGTTTCCCAGGAGAAGGGAGCAGAGTGTTCATCTTGCCAAGTTATGTCCTGAAATAAAAATTCAAGAATAAGTCTGAAATACAAACCCAAACATGCCCCACGCGAACATCCACCCGAGGCCATGGGGGACCCAAACCTTAGGGCTCGTCCCTCCTCCCGGCTCTGGACCAGCCCGATGTTTTCACGCTCTGTGCACAGTGTGTCGACCACCTCCATCTGGCGGAGACCGCGGGCGCACCCCTCCCAGCCCTCCCCAGCCAAACACCAGGTAGCAAGCCTGGGAGGCGCCGCAGCTGGCAGCAGGGTGGAGCCGAAAGGGAGGAGAGCGAACCGCCACCGGCCCGGGCTCTGCCGGTGCCTAGACCTGCGGCCAGGGAGACATGGCCTTTGAGCCTCAGCTTCCTCATTCGTAAAAGGAGAATCATCCTCCCATTGCGGGGTTGCTGTGGAGATGAAACGAAGCAACAGGCACAGAAGGCCTGGCAGTCATCCACAGGCCAGCATGGGTTCGACTGAGCCCCACCTTGCCCCACAGGCCTACCAGATCTGAAAGGCAGTGGTAAGCAAAATCAATGAAGGAAACGCCGATTTAATACAAGTGCCTAATGGTAAGGAGAACTCTGAAATCACTCCCCACCCACACCAAGCAGAACAGATCGAAGGGACCCTTCAGAGCAGTCCCTGGGACTCTGACCCTGGGTGCACCAGGATTTGCTCACTGGCCTAAAAAATAACAGGAAATCACCTGGTCTTAGCTACCCCCAGAACCCCAGCTGTCTTCCTGGGCTAGCAACCATCTCATCTGTACCCAGCTTCTACTGCAGATCACATTTTCTGAACCAAAAACTGGGACACACTGGGTGATACAGACCGAAAATGGGACAAACTGTTTTAAATGGAGACAGCCTTGTCGTGAAGGCCCCACCCAGAGGCACCCCCAGCTTCTGCACGAGCTGCGCCACTGCCCCAGACCCTCTCCAGCGCCCCCACCCAGCGGCCTCTGACCTGCTCAGCTGGTGACCTGCCACCCCTGGCCGCCAGGCCAAACTAAAAATGATAGGAACGTGGGCCACCGCACTCCCATTTGGGACTCCAAGTTACTTCTCAATTTATAAACCATCCCTCCAAAAATGGAAATGGACTGCCTGGAGGAATGTGAGTTAACCAGCCTTTGTGAGAAGTCTCCCAGCAGAGGCTGCAGGTCCAGCCCTCAGCTGTGGGGGGCAGAGGGGAGCCTGTGTCCTGAGCCTATTCTGGGGAGGGGCGGTGGCACAGCACAGATGAGCTAAATGACCTGGAAGTCCCCAAAATTCCATGACCTCGGGACCCCCTAAGTTCCTCTTTGAAGTAATAAAACAAGAAGGACTTTGTTTTCAGATGGGAAAAATAAATGAGGCTGAAAGATTGAAAACACCCTTTATTCTAGAATTGGGCCTGTGGAAAAGTGAATGCAAACTGGCAAAGGGGCTTCTTCCATCCAGCCGCAGGACAGGGGGCCTCCGCAGTGGGCAGAGGAGGTGTGTGACGATCAGCCGGGCACATAAGGCACACGGGAGCTGGGCTCTCCCACCGGGTGATAAGATCTACCTTCTAAACATTAATTATGCACCCACAGTTCCTTGGAAATCTGCAAAGAGGACAAGAAGAAGGCTTTTGGCTTTCTGAGGTGAGTGAATGCAAGACTGTGAGGAACAAAGATTCAGCCTGGAGCTTGGTGGGCCAGCAGTCTCCAGCGTGGAGCCCAAATTAGCTGGAACTCCACGGGGGTCACAGACAGAGGCAGGGTCACGCTGTGACTCTCCCCAGCTTTGTGTCGGATCAGTAGTCCTTTGTTGGCTCCATCAAGAAGCTGAGTAAAGGGCCAAATTCCTTACATTTCTACAACTCTGAGCTCATAAAAAATAATAGAGCACTTAACAAAAATAAACATGCCAAGCAAAAATGTGATGGAAGCTCAGATGTCGGCTGTGACTGCACAGTCCAGCACCGGAGGCAGGAACGGGCTCGGGGGCAGTGGATGCAAAACGGCATCAGAAGTCACACACACACACACACTGTGTGTGTGTGTGTGTGTGTGTGTGCTCCCTTCTACTCCCACAATGACCAGGAGGTCACCAAAATGTGGCCAGGCTCGTGCATGTGGACTAGCACAAATACTTTCTGGGAGGCTGTTTGGAAGGCTCCCCGCCTGCCTCCGTGGCACCCAGATCTGAGACCATCGCAGCACCGAAGCACATGTGCTGCTCCGACCCCAGGGCAGCACCGTGTGGGCTTCATCTGGGCCAAGATTTACCCTCGGAGTCAAGTTCCTCTCCAGAGAGACGGCGTACCAGACTACAGTGAATCTCCCTGGAAACTGGTATCTTCCCTGGAGCACAGCAGGGGAAGAAGCCTCAGGTCACCAAACCCAGAGGAGGACAAAACGCGGAGGGAAGCCACTGACAGCTGGACGCACAGCCAGCGCCACAGATGGTTCCGAGGCCTCTGCCACAGACACACCAAGTGTCTTTCCCTCTCACGTCTCGGGCCTTAACTCGCTCTTATCTGGGAAATATTCACCCAAGACAATGTTCACCTCCTAACAGAAGCAACATGTTTTTTAAAAAGAAGAATGTATATCCTCTGCCCATAGTAGCAGAATGCGTGTTCTCATGAAGACTCTGGCATTTACTACTTGGTAAAGAATGGATGTCAGAGCGTGTTAAGATCTCTGTGTGCCCTGGACATTTCTAGTTTTGGAGGCTGCACCCAGCAGTGTACGGATGCCAGTTTGCACCAACTCACGAGAGCTGACTGTGAAATTTTTAGGAATTTTTTGAACCTGTTGTTAAAGCCATTATTAAAAATTAAATGATACAAACTTACAATCACATTGGACTACAAACCAAAGTAACATACCTCACACTCCTAAGGATGGCTGTTATTTAAAGAAAGGAAAACAGCAGTGTGAGCACGGAGATGGAGAAACGGGAATCTCGTGCATGGCTGGAGGTGACGTAAGATGGGGCAGCCACTGTGGGAAATAGGGAGGGGGTCCCTCGAAAGGAATCAGAGAATTACCATCTGATCCAGCACTTCCACTCCAAGGTACCCAGCGAAGAAAACTCAACACAGGAACACAAACATATGCACGTATGCCACGGTTCACTGCATTGTTCACAGCAGCCACCAAGCGAGAACAGAAATGTCCGTCAACAGAGGAAGCGACCAAATGTGGCATACCCACACAACAGCACCCTACTCAGCCTTAGAAAGGAAGGAGGTTCTAACAGATGCTGAAATACAGATGAGCCTTGAGGGCACCATGTCAGTCAGAGATGGACAAATGGTGCGTGACCACTCATCCGAGGTCCCTCGAACAGACAAACGAACGGAGGCAGAGCGGGTGGCGTTTACCAGCGGCGAGGGAGGGAGAACACCCTTACACAGCAGAGCTCCCCTCTGCTGAGGCGGTGGGAAAGCTCTGGAAATGGACAGCTTTGATGGCTGCACAACATTGGGAAGGTACAAAACGTATACACTTAAAAATGCTTAGAATGGGAAGTTTTATGTTATATGTATTTTACCACAATAAAATGAAATCTGAAAAGACTGTATGATTCCAAGTACATGACATTCAGGCTGAGGTAAAATGATAAAGACAGTAAAAAGATCAGAGGTTGCCAGGGGGCTAGAGGAGAGGGAGGGCCACATAGGCTGGGCACAGAGAATGTTTAGAGCAGGGAAATTCTCTGTACCTGCGATAGCCTGTGATAACGGACACTTTTCTCAAAACCCATGTGTGTACCACACAGGAACGTACACCACCACGGGTAAGACTTCAGGCAATAGAGACACGTCACTGTAGGTTCATCCATTGAAACAATGTCTGGTGGGGATGCTGACAGTGGGGGAAGCCGTGTATGTGTGAGGGGGGAGGCAGGAAGGAATTCTCTCTACTTTCTGCTCAGTTTTACTGAGAAACTGCTCTAATAAGTAAAACCTATTTTTCAAGAGTGTTTTTTTTGTCCCCCCTGCAAAAAAAACCCCACAAAGGTAAATAAATACTTAAAACTCATCACCATTTCCCAAGTACCTTAGTAGATTTTGCTACTATCTGTGCTCTTGAGGTTATTTATACCTATTGCATGTGCAGGATGTGATGCACACCTACACATGACAGCCATGTCACTGCTCCTCCCAGCCTGGCTTGGGCTCCAAGAGTCCCCTGGGGGCTTGCAACAGGCCGTAGGGGGACATGGGCTCCATCAGCATTCAGCAGGTGCCACCCATCAGCTGCTCCCCCACAGCCAGATGTTAGACCTTCACCAGCACATCTGGCTGCAACCAATACACTCAAACATACTGACGTTCACATTTCTACATTAAATGTAATTTCTGCAATTAAACTTTTAAAAGGATTTTGGTAATTTTGCTTTTCAAGTTATTTGGTACAAGTATCTCCATTGGTTATGATTTCTCTGTGCAGCTCATTACTATTCCAAAATTATAAACTGAGACACTCCGGACTTGAAATTCATTTCAAATACTGTGAAATTTTATAAATATTAAAGTGTCCTCTTAATGAATTTGATGAGAGACGATTAAGCACTTATTCCTTTACAATTTCTTTCCAAACTGAGGGCCAGTCAACTTCACTGTGGCATCTCAAGCGCATGGGATGGACAGCACTGTGTGCACCAGGGGCCCCGAGGACATCCAAGGTCAGCTCCAGACAGGAGCCTGGGCTTTCTGAGGCTGCCTCTGAGACCCGCACAAAGCCAGCCAACGGCAAGCAGACCCTTTGCTGTGACACTCGGAGAACTGCTTCTGAGGCCCCTGCAGCACTCACAAGGTCCAGTGTGCACTGTGGGCCCATCTGCGTGCCAGGCTGGGGGCCCGTCTGCCTCTAGGGCCTGAACAGCAGCACCTTCCTGCAAATGCCCTCTCAGTGGCACCCCTACCACAGGCACTCAGTGGGAGAGACCCTCCTCAGCTTCTTACTGGCCTCCGGTCCACACAGGAGCAGTTCACAGACATCAGATTCAGGACCGAAGAATGCCCAAGGC